AAAGAACCAGCTCTTAGTTTCGCTGATTTTTTATGATATATATTTCTTTTATTTCTGCCTTTCTTTTTATTACTTCCTTTCCTTTACTAATTTTGGGACTTGTTTGTTTTTTTCAAGTTGATTTGGGTATGATACAAGATTATTTATTGGGGCTATTTATTTCTTCTTAATGTGGACCTATACTGCAACTAGTTTCCCTTTTAAGACTGTTTTTACTGTGTCTTATAGATTCTGATAGTTTGATCATCATTTTCATTCATCTTAACGTAGTTTTTAAGTTTTGCTTTGATTTCCTCTTTTATTCAATAGTTATTATGCAGCATGTGTGTATATTTACAGTTTTTCCACCTTCTAGTTTATTGCTAACTTTTTGGCATTGTGGATCAGAAAGAATAATAGGAATAACTTCAATCTTTGGAGTTTTTTGACAATTGATTTATATCGCAGGATATAGGTTATTCTTGAAAATGTTCCTAGTGCACTTGAAACAAATATGTATGTAGTGGTTTTTTTGGTGGGAGTGTTATGTAGATGTCTTTTAGGGCTAACTCCTCATTTAAGGATGTTGTTTTCTTGTTTATTCTTGTCTTGATCAGTCTGTCCATTGTTGTAAGTAGAATATTAAAGTCTCCTAGAATTATTGTGTTATCAATATATCTCTTAAACTGTTATTGTCCCATATATCTTGATGGTCCATTATCAGGCACACACATATTTATAGTGTTCTTTCTTCTTGTATTCAACTGTTAATCATAACATAACATCCCTCTCTATCACTTACTACCTTTCTTAATTGGAAGTCTGTATTATCAGTTATATATAATGCTGTTTTTGATTTTTTAAAATTTCCATTTGCTCTCCCATCTTTAACTCTAAGTATATATTTTTCTTTGTTGGTAATTTATTTTATTATTAGCAGAAAATTGGACTTTGTTTTGAAAAAATTCATTTAGCCATTCTATATATTTTGAATGGTGAATTCAGATCATCTATATTTATGGGAATTATTGAAACATAAATACTCATTGCCACTTTATTATGTTTTTAGTTTTTGCTTGTCTTGTCTTTTTTTTTAAAAGATTTACTTATGTATGCATACAAGAACTGAGGTATAGGCCAGAGGAGTGGGGGTGAGAGAATTCATCAGAGACAGAGTGGGGAGGAGAACAGGCAGATGTACTGAAATACATTGCTGAGGGGAACAGCAGGTGGGCCAGGAGATGTCTACCATGCCATGTAGGTCACCTCCCTGGTCAGGAATTGAACTCATGCTGCAGTGGCTGCAGATAGCTTCATAATGCTGTGCTTTAACCCACTGAGCCACCAGGGAGGGCCCTTGTCCTTTTATTTTTTGAGGGCATGTTGTTTTGCTTAAACTCCCTATCTGATGGCTTATGTATAATTTCTACTAACTTTTTGTTTGTTTGTTTGAGGGTTCTACTGAGGTTAGCATATGATGTGTAATTCGTGGTACTAATTGGATGGTCTGGTCTTTTACTGATTGGGATAGTCCATAAATTTGTTTCTTTCTTCTCTTTTCCAGGTTAAGTAATTCAGGTATCTACCTTGATATTCATTGTTCTGATGTTTTCAGCTTTATTTCATGTATGACTTAGTGTTGATATATATATATATATATATATATTCAGTTTTTGCTTTTCAGTGAAAGCTCTTTATTCTTTCTTCTGCCTTAAGTGTTTAGCTGGGTAAAGAATTCTAGGCTGGAAGTCTTTTTAAATGCTAAGAATGGGAAACTTCCTCATATCCTATTTAGTAAATAGCTGGTAATACCATCATTTGCTATATCCATTAACTCAGCAGGAAGCAGTGTAGTCTATTAGTTAATTAATGACTTCTGGAGCCAACTGCCAGTTTAATTCCCAGCTCCATTACTTTTCTACAGTGTGGTTTTGGGCAAGTTATCTCTTCTATCAAATGAGGTTAATAGTAGCTAGTTTCCCCTATAGTTCTTATGAGGATACAACAAAGTGGTTTGCATAAAACATTTATTTGCAGGAGTACTTGACACAAAGTAAATGCTATGTAACTATCAAACATTTTTACTACTTTCCTTGGTTTATTTGACAAATCTCTGGCAAACTTTTTCTCTCTTTGGACATTACTTAGGAGGCACTCTATAAAGCTTTTTTTTTTTTTTCTGTTTTATTCCCAGCTTTCATCAAATCTGTCATGCATGCCAACTTTCTCTGTTGGCCTCACATGGATTTTCCAGCTTGCTTCCAGCTAGCTAGTAATAAGATTTTCCTCCCTCTGGAAATCTTGTTTATTTCGTATTTTGGTGCATACTTTCCTGGTTTTCCAATAATATATTTTAAAAGTTTTAGCTAAAAAAATGTCTACCTTCATATTCTCTCATTCTAACACAGAACAGATTATAAAATTTTCTCCCAGTTCAGCCCCATGAAACATCACTTTTCCTTTCCTCTTTTCCCTCCAGCTCCTAGACTGCCCTTTGGGAGAGGCTGTGTTATGGTAGGTGCCAGTACTGAGGCATTAATGTTACCAGTGTGGCCAGCTGGGTTCCCTTGAGAAGGCAAAGGAGAGCTGGGAATGTGGAGAGAGACATCACAAAGACAAATGCACTTTATTGATCAGGCATCAGCATCATACAGGGCCAAGGAAGAGACCCCACCTGGCCAGGGCCACACTGGGGGTGGGGGTTCTGATTCACATTGAGACCCAGGCTGGGGTGTCCCCTCTCCTCTTCCTAATGGTTCAGCAGCAGGGTGGTTCTCAGGGACGGAAGGAGGTGGGGATCTATACTTGCTCTGTCTAAAGTCCAGGGCTTCCCCAAGGGACTAGATCAGTTACTGGGGGAGTGGAAAGTGGATGTAGTGGAAAGAGCTTTGGACCATCAGGCCAAAGTTTGGGTCTAGTTCCTGGCAATACTTCTGACTAGGTATATGAGCTTGGGTGAGTCACACCCTCCTCTGAGTCTATTTTCTTTAACAAGGGTGTTGAACAAGATTTCTCTCACTGAATAGCAAGCTGGACCCATGCGTTGGACAAAGTCAAAATTAAATCTCAAGGGTGGCTCTCTAATTTGCAACCTAACAACAATTAAAGTATAGAATTTGCACAATGCAAGTTTTCCCCCCATAAATCTCTCTTTAACCAGCAGCAACTACTAGCTGCTATATTGAAATGCAGTAGAAATGGCGTCCAATTCTGAAAACAACTCATGTCTAATAGATGAAAGATTCAGCTATGAGAATGGGACCTGCAGAGAACATGGCTGTCAGATGGCTGTCCTCCTGAGGACAAGCTAGGCAGGCAGGCACCGATGCCTCTCGCAGTGGGCAGCTGGTTTTTCCCAGAGTTCTCAGGGAACAGATGCAGGCTTAGTACTCACATTAGCTCTCTGAGATATCAAATGAGGCTTTGTTCTCCAAACTCAGGCCATGATCTGAAGTACCCTCTCTGACTTCTAGAAACACCCTCCTCCAGGGGGTCCCACACACCATTGATTCACTTTCCCAAGGAACCCCAAACTAGTGTAAATGGACAGAGAGTTCCCATCTCCTGCCTGGTTCAGGGAAAATGCTGAATTTAAATTATGTGCCCTCCCCTCTGGCCCTGCCTCACAGATCCTCTGACTTTGGGGCAGAGGAGTGAGAAAAAGCATCTCAGGACTCCATCCTTTAAATGCTCTCCAGCAGTTCCCCACCATACTCCCCCACTCACACCCTGAGTGTAGCTCTTGGCTCTCCCTGGAGAATGGCAGTCTGGGAACTAGACCTGGCAGGTGAGAAGAGCATGATTGGGGCTGTTGGGGTCTGAAGGTTCTTGTCCCTTCTACCTGTCAGGTGAGAAAATGCAGCCCCACTAGGGACTGGAGCGGGCACTGCTTCTTGGGTCTGGGGTGGCTGGGAGATAGGGGCATCTCTGGATCATTCTTGACCATCCTAAGATGAGGCACCGCCAACTTCTGCAGCAAGAGAGCCTGGGGCCTGGGCGCCCTCTCTCCTGGCTGGGAGGTAGGGTACTGGAAGCATGAGACTGGGCACAGAGTCCAGGTTTTTCTGGACAATTCAGCCCTGCTCTTGTGGATCCAGTGGGAGGGGACCTGGGTCCAAGTTGAAGGGCCATGGGTTTGGGGCAGGGACAGCTGTGGCCACCATTCAGTACTCTTCTGTGAGGCTGGGCTTAGCTGCCACACACTGTCAGTGTCCTGCTCTTTTCCCTCCTTGGGCCTCTCAGCAGGTAGGTTTTGGGTAAGTGGCCCCAACCATGGGGAGAAAGCCCACATCACCAGCCTCCTCCAAGGAGAACTAGCGTGGCAATGGGTTACAGATGGACAGGGAGCAGTCCAATAGGTACCCTTGAGCCAGCACAGGTGCTTGAGGAAGGAGTTGTGACTTAGTCACCTGGTTTTGGTCATCGTTGGTAGTGAATGTCCTAGCCAGGCCAGTGGTAGGAGTCCTCTCAGAGGGAGAAGCCCTTGGTAGCTCTCTGGCCACGGATAGAACAGCACAGAATGCTGGCAAATGGGTTGGGGTTGCAGGCCAATTATATGTCATGGGTAGGTGGGACAGGGGCAGGGGCAGGAAGGTCCCCACCAGGCTCTGGACATGTTGGCCTGGAACGGGGGGAGGTACATTTATCTCTGTCCCTGAGGAGTGGGTGCATCTCTCCTGCCTACCTGTTCCCTCAACACCAGCAAGCAGCCGCTTCTGGAGCAGTGGGGGCATCCCCGGGCAAGGCCCCACCTTCAGCCTCTGTCCTCTGCCCCCACTGAAGTTTGTCAAATTGACAACAGCTCCTCATGACTGAGGTCTCGAGGGACTGGGGGAAGCCGGTGGTCTTCAAGAAAGGGGGACCTGATATTAGGTTGGGGCCAGGTGGGGAGAGGAGGTGAGAAAGGAGGGGCTGCACTCCAGAGGGGGTGGGAAGGGGTGTTGGGAAGCTGCCAGCCCCAGGCTGGGGTTTTTGGCCCCAGAGGTGCAGTTCCACCCAAGGGCCACTGCAGGCTGCCTTAGTCAGGAGATCTCGTTGCCAAACACCTCAAGAACAAGGGGCGTGAGCTTCATGCTACACTCGGGCTGAATAGACAGAGAGCGGTACTGCTTGGAGTGCTCCTCGTTGAGGCTGCGCAAGTCGGCCAGCTTCTGGATCATCTTTGCGTAGAGCAGGTGGCTGCCAGGAGGCGGGTGGCGGCAGCGAATGTAGGTCTGCAGCGTGTTGGACAGGCGGTCCTGGATGGCTTCTACCAGAGCCGCATCCTGCACTCCGGGGCGGTCTGCAGCACGCAAAGGTGGGGAAGAGACACAGCACTCTGAGTCAGGTCGCTTGCTTTACACACAGCTTCAGCACCTCCCAGATCACGCCTGAAGGAGCTGAACTCTTGCACCACGGACTTCCCTAAAACCCAACTACTTTCCGTTGCATTTAGGGTCAAGTCCCAGGACCCCAGCTCACCACTCCTTCCCTCCCTTGGTCTGCTCTGTCTTTCCACTAGGACTCTGATTTGTCTGACCTCTGGGCTTCCCACCTCTGGGCCTCCCATCAATGACCTCTCTACCTGGAACTTAGCTCTTTTATTTTCACCTGACTTTTTTTTTAAAAAGATTTATTTATTTATACATAATACAGAACTGGTACAGGCCAGAGGTGCAGGGGCAGTGAGAGGATTTACTAGAGGCAGAGTGGGGAGCAGAACAGGCTGATCATCGAAGTACAATGCTGAGGGGAGCAGTGGGCGTGTCAGGAGAGGTCTGCTGCTCCACGTGGATCACCTCCAGGCCTGATGGAACTCATGCTGAGGTGGCTTTAGCTTCTTAGTGCTGTGCTTTAACCCCCTGCGCCACCAGGAAGGGCCCTATTTTCACCTGAGCTTGAAAGACCTTCCTCAAGCTCATTCCTAATAAACTCCTTCCTACCTCCATGTCCCAGACAGTATCAGTTCCCTATTATATTTGCTGTAGAGGCACATACTCTTTATTTTTAAAACGTCCATCACTTTAGGAATTAATCATTTACTTATCTTGGAGTATATACTGTGCATACCAGAATATTAAAAATCATGGCATGTCCTCTCAGAGGGGTATATTTTAGGATGTCATCATTTTGATGTGAATCATAGAAATATGACAATATGCACTGTTTGTTGTACTTTTAGTATTTTAAGAGATTTACTTAGTTGCCTTTTGTCTACGTATTATGTAGTCTATTTACAATTACTTTCTTTCAAACAACATTATAAGAATAGTTTATGTAAAGAAGTATTCAAAGATACTCAGCATCTCTCCACCTGTGCTTACGGGCATTCGTTCAGTTGCTCGTCTAGTTACAGATTATCAGAACAAAAGTGTGTTTGTAAACTGTATGGGCACTAAAAATTAGAATAATAATAATTTCATATATTGTGGTTAAAAATAGTATTTGTTTAGTGTCTCCTATGTTCCAAGAGAGAGAATGTGACCTGTTTGTTGCCGAATCCCTGCACCTGTGACCAACAGCAAGCCACAGCAGAGTGAACAACTGTGGGTGTGCAGGGGGAGGGGAGCCTATGTCCTTCCTTGGGCCCCAGCCCCGGACAGCCCCTAGATCTGAGAACATGTCCTTGTTCTCAGAACACTGTCCGAGCCAAGGCAGAGCTGCCCACTTTAGGCCTCATCACCAACATATCATCTCTGCGACCACAAAACTTATTCCCAGGCTTTCTCTTTCTCTTCTTACCCCAAACTGGCAGAAGAGCTCAAGGGTCCCAGCAAATGCCTTCAAAACCCACCAGATAAGCCGCCTGGGCAGAGCCATCCATCAGGGCCCAGGGTTTTATTCCTGCACCCAGGGAAGCCCAGGAAAACCCTGTTCAGTTCACACAAAGCAGAGCCTGTGTGCTGGCAGCACCCAAGTCTGCCTGTGGCTTGAGAAACCCCATAGACCTGATTCCTTGGAGTCCTCTTATGGCTCACCTGTGGGCCCCCGAGGGCAAGGCCAAGGGAAGTAAGGGTTCTCTCATGACATACACTCCACTTGGGCAAACCCAGCAAAGTGGGTATTTCCCACCTGTGTCTTCTTCCAAACTGCCCGTCTGGGCCTCAGCAGGGCTTCCTCCCTCACACTGCTGTGGCCCAAATCCCCAATTCCGGCCAGACCCCTACCTGGGGAGACAATGCAGATGGCCATGAGCAGGACATGCTCCTCCTCATGCAAGTTCAACTTCTTCAGCCCCACCTGGAACTTGATGAGGGGTTCAATCAACTCCAGGCTATGTCCGGCTGGGAGAGAGAATAATCAGAGCTGTGAGTGGAATGGAGGAGCCACACACTCCAACCCACCTCACCTCCAGCTCTCAGTGGGCCTGACCTCCCCCTTCCCCTCTTGTTGTTGCTTAATCCCTGCTGATGTGCTAGCTCAGGAAGGGGGGACCAGAGCCTCGGAGATGGAAAGAGTGGAGGCAGAGCCCAGACACACCTTTGGTCACATCACTGACTTCGTACTTGTAATCTTGGCTGCCACAGGTCCAGGACATGTCGTCCATGGTGAAAGACTGGTTGGAGCGCAACATGATGACCTCAATGGCACTTGACTTGAGCAGCACAATCTGGTCCTCAGCGGTGAGGTCTCTGTAGGGAATGGTGGGAGGAAGGTGTCTTGCTGGTCAAGACCTTCAAGTCAACAGATCAGTGTCATATTTTAAGAGGCTAATATCTGCCAAGGGACCAGAAGGTGCCCTAGCTTCTCCCATCATAGAACTTAGGCCTGACTGGGAAGGATAAAATTATTATGTTTTCCATCACTAAAGACTTCTCATTCATAAAATAAGAAGTGAAGTGTTTCAGCTACAAAGACAAGGAAAACCCAATAACTTGCGTAAGCCCAGGCTGAGCCAGCCAGCACCATAGACAGACTGAGGAAGCTCCCAGAGTTATGAAATGAATATGAGCTACAAAAGTCATGACTAAAGTCATCTTCAACAGTTCCCGTGCCTCCCCCTCCCTCTTCCTGTACCTGGCCCTTCCCAATGGTAAAGCTCAGCCAACTTTATCTTTAGGGTATCTTAAGCCCTTGAACTCATTCCCACTCGTACCAGGGCTGTTGTGGTTCAAAGCTGTGTCCCTGTTTTCAGTGGCCTTCTATGCCATCCTGATGTCAAGTCTCTCTGGTCTCTGATTCATTCTAACTGCTGTTGCAGGGAAATGTCACTCAGTGTCTACTGACTCAAACACCCAGGAGAAAGACAGAACTGACTCAAGCCTGCATCATCAGCCTCCCTTCCTACTACAAACAGTCAACCATCCTTTCTAGTAAGCCAGACTACTCTGCATTCAGAGGCTGTCCATCTCAGGCCACCCGGCCTCTGAGCATCTTGTATTCCAACCAGCCACGCCTTTCTTCTGTTCCAAATCATCATCCTGACACTAAATGTAGTGAGGTTTCCCTTCGGGGCCCCCCACCCTCTGATTCTTTTCTATAGAATTAGAGCTGCTTCCTCAGGACTGCCTGACATTGCCCGCGACCACCTTGCCCCTCAACTGCAAGCTGCATAAGGACCAGCACCACCTCTTAATTACCTTAGTGGGTGCCCACACACTGGTCACTGCACTCTGAGCACAGTGAGAGTGACCCTAAGTAGATGTTGATAGTCAAGAAGCCAATGACTAGGTTCACTACTTGAAGTCATGAATTGGGCTTTTCTGAAAAATGACAAGAACGCGCAGCGCTTAAGATTCACATTTTTTTCCCCTCTCTTTGTCTTCTTGGCTCTATATTTCCCCCTGGACATCCTGTAGTTGGGCGGCCACTCCCATTTCAGCTATAGTTTGATATGTAAAAATCTGGGAATTAGATAACAATGGAATTGAGTTCTGTATCAACAGGTGGTGATGGTGGGGAATGGAAGGTTTGCACAAATAGGGTGGCAATCAAGGTTTGGCACTGAAAGACCAATCACTTTTAGACTGGGAAGGCTGTGTGTCTAGTTTCCCCTCCATCATTCCTGACAAGTGACTCTCACACACAGTCAGGGTTCCCCTAGTGCCAGGGGGCTTACAGCCTCTGGATGCAGCCACAGTTGAGCGCTCTTAAGCTAATGGCTTCTCCTATGGAGCTACAACTGACATGTGTCCTCTCACCCATTGCTTGTAGCTCTGTCCTCTCCAGAAACACACACCAGCTGTTTCCATTCACTATGGGGAATCCCTTTAACCATTTCAAGAATACTTCCATACACCCCATGTGCCTTCCCCAGGATAGACAGCCTTAGTGACCCCATCTTTAGATGACTCCCCATCCTTGAGACGTTGCTGTAGATGCTCAATTCATTATTCAATTCAAATTTGCTCATTGCTAAATCTTTGGAAAATCCAGGCGAAAAATTAAGGGAACTGAAAGTTGCTCATAATTACAGCTAACATTTGGTGTGTTTCCTTCCTATTTTTTTCCTGTACAAATCTCTCTCTCTCTCTTTTTTAGAGATTTATTTATTTATGCATACAGAAGTGGGGTACAGGCCAGAGGTGCAGAGGCAGTGAGAGGCTTCACCAGAGACATAATTGGGAGCAGGATAAGCAGATCAACAAAGTACACTGCTGAGGGGAGCAGTGGACGAGGCAGGAGAGGTTTGCTGAGCCATGTAGGTCACCTCCTGGGCCGGGGATTGAACTCTCACTGAAGCGGCTTCAGCTAGTTTGTAGTGTTGAGTCCTAACCCTTTGCACCACCAGGAAGGGCCCAGAAATATATCTTTTTAAAGCATATGTGAGTTTATATTAATACTATGTCCCACTTCCTATATCATATCAGCATACTATGAGTTATTTGATCAGTCTCCCATCCAACAATTTTTGGGCCAGTTTGGCTGCTTTTAGTTTTTGTTACTATAAGTAATTCTGGAAGGATATCTTTGCACATAACCTTTTTCAATGCCACACTCAAAATGGATGGCCAGAGTGTGCAAACGTCCCCATGAGTACAGGGCCAGAGATTTCACTGCCTAGTGTTCCAGACACACTCTATTATGACAACAAAACTGGAAAGACCTCAATTACCACCCCAGCCTGGAAATACAGGGACTTCCTACATGCAGTTACAATCAGAATAAGAGGGTGAAGGCGGAGGAGGTAGAGCTGGATATAAAGGGGTGTTATACCTGAACCTGCAAAGGTGCTGTGCTTGTCTAATATTTATGTAGTTTCAGTGATTTTAACCATGTACCCTTGAGTTAGTAATTGCTGTGTTTTCCATAGCTTAATTTTCTTTTTTTATGTTTCCTCTTCCCACACTGTTCAGCAGCCTCTTGTAACTATTTCCACAAAGGAAATCACATCAGGAAATCTGTCATTGCTAATATTTTCCTTACAGATATCCCTCTTAGCAAACTCCAGCTCTCTTCTCTCCCTCTCTCTCTCTGGTGGTGCATTGCTCTCTAGACTCTCTAGACTTGCCAAGTATTCTTTTCCCCACCACCCTGCCTTATATCCTCTTGCTCCTTCCCCTGTCCTCTCCCTCTTAATAGCAGAGCCCTCACAGTGCTTACTGATACCCACTAGTTATTGCATGCACTTTACTTTACCTAATCTTCTGCTATGTAAATGCACAGTAGTTCCTTTTGTTGTTCTGACTTGTTGAACTGCACACAATTCTGTTTAATGGCTGCAGTCATCTTTCCATATATTTTTGGTTCAGTCACCAGTTGATAGGCTGCTTCTATGTCCTTGCAATGGTACACAATGCTGCTATGAACACTGTAAAGCATATATGTTTATGTTGATGGTTTCAGCATCTTTGGATAGGTGCTGAAGAGTAAGATTACTAGTCATACAGTATTCCCATTTTTCTCTTTTAAGGTATACCTAGATTGTTTTATAAAATGCTTGCACCCATTTATAGTCTCACTATCATGTAACCAGGTTCTTCTTTCTCCACATCCTCACCAGCACTTCTTCTTGGAGGTAGAGATCTTTTTTTCTTTTTTAAGATGATTTATTTTTATCATATAAGAGCTGGGGTACAGGCCAGAGGTGTAGGGGGTGAGAGGGTTTACCAGAGACAGAGTGGGGAGCAGAACAGGCAGACTGACTGAAACACACTGCTGAGGGGAGCAGTGGGTGGGTCAGGAGAGGTCTGCCTTGCCATGTGGGTCACCTCCCTGGCTGGGAATCAAACTTGTGCTGCAGTGGCTTCAGAGAGCTTCATAGTGCTGCGCTTTAACTTAATGTGCCACCAGAGAGGGCCAGTTGGAGGTCTTTTTAATAAATGTCATTCTCATGGTGAGAGATGGTATCTTATTGTGGCCTTAATCTACATCTATTTTATTGGAAGCAATGATGAACCTTTTTTTCATGTCAACTGACCTTCAGAATATCCTCTTTGGTGAGCTGTCTCTTCATATCTGGTGCCCATTTACTAATTGGGTTGTTTTATGATTGTTGAATTGTGTGAGTCTCTTATACAATCTTAAATATTATCTGGTAATCTGTTACACATTGTGTGGCCATTTTCTCCCATTCAATCGGGTGTTTTTAATTATCTTGCATTTTCTTTTGCTGTGTAAGTGTTCTTATTTGAGATAATCCCAATTGTTTATTTCTGCTTTTATAACCCTTGTCTTGAGGGTCACCACCAGAAATATCAATGTCATGGAACATATTTCCACTGTTTTCTTCTATGTAGTTTATGGTTGCAGATCTTTATCTAAATATTTACTCCACTTGGAGTTCATTTTTGTGTGTGGCATTAGCAAGTGATTAAATTTATTTTTTTTACATGTGACTTGCCAATTTTCTCAGACCACTTATTAAAAAGTCCTTTTCCCATTTTATGGTGCTGTTATATAAATGGATTTGTTCTGGAGTATCAATTCTATTTCATTGATCCATGTATCTATTTTTGTGCCAATATCATATTGTTCTTAGTACTGTTATTTTTTTTTTTAAAGATTTATTTATTTATTCATACAGAACTGGGGTACAGGCCAGAGGCTCAGGGGCAGTGAGAGGCTTCACCAGAGACAGAGTGGGGAGCAGAACAGGCAGATCGACGAAGTACACTGCTGAGGGGAGCTGCGGGCGGGTCAGGAGAGGTCTGGCTCGCCATGTTGTCTCCTCCGGGGCAGGCGGCAGGCGGGAATCGAACTCATGCGGAAGTGGCCTCAGATTCTCAGTGCTGTGCTTTAACCCGCTGCGCCACCAGGGAGGGCCAGTACTGTTATTTTATAGTGAAGTTTTAAGTCAGGTAATGACTCCATTTCTCTCCTTTTTCTCAGGATTACATTTGCAATTTGAGATCTTTTGTGGCTCCATATGAACTTCAATATTTTTGTTCAGTTTTTAAAAATTATTGTTGGTATCTTGATGGGATGGCATTAAATGTATATGTAATTTTAGACCAAATAGTTATTTTGATTATTTTGATCCTCCTCATCCATGAGCATGGGATATCCATACATCTCCTTAAGTCATTCTTTAAGTCCCTTTAGTAATGTCTTACAGTTCTTGTGTATAGTGCCTTTACCTCCTGAGCTAGTTAATTTCAAAGTATATAATTCTTTTGACATTACTTTATTATATTTATTATTATATACCACTATATAATAAATAATAAACATATATCAATATATTTTATGATGCCAACATTACCCTAATACCAAACCAGCACAAGGAAAGAAAACTATAGACCAATATCCCTGATGAACATCAATGCAAAAATTCTCATTGAATTACTAACATTTATGTTTATTATTTACATAATAAATAATATATGCTTATATTATAAATAATTTTATAATTGTAAAAATAGTCATATTCTCGATTTCTTTGCTCTCATTCATTGTTTGTATATAAAAAGATGATGTATTTATGTATTATTGTATTTTGTAAACTGCCACTTTGCTGTGTTCATTTCTTGCTTCTTTTTTAATATAGTCTTTAGGATTTTCTATAGATACTATAATAATATAATATAATAATGATAGTTAAATTTTTTCTTTTCCAAATTGAATTGTTTGTTTTTCTGAGCCAAACCTCTAATACTAAATTAAAAAGAAGTGGTAACAATGGGCATCCTTGTCTTGTTTCTGATCCTAAGGGGAGAGCATTCAGGTTTTCACCATTAAGTATTATAGTGGATGTCAGTTTGTAGTATATGGCCTTTGTTATATTGAGGTAGGTCTTTCTATTCCCATTTTGTTTAGCGCTTTTATCATAAATAGGTATTGAATCTTACCAAATGTTTTTTCTGCCTCTGTTGATATATGATTTTTATCTTTAAATGTGTTGATATAATGTATTACATCAGTTAATTTGTGTATATACAATCCTTATATCTCTGGAATAAATCCCACTTCATGGTGTATAATCCTTGTGATAAACTGCTGAACTTGATTTGCTAGTAATTCAGTGAGGGCTTTTGCATTGATGCTCATCACAAATATTGGCCTATCGTTTTCTTTCCTTGTGCTGGTTTGGTATTAGGGCAATGTTGGCATCATAAAATATATTAAAGAGTCTTTCCCTGTCTTGTATTTTTAAAAACAATTTGAGCCAAATGGGTATTAGATTTTCTTTAAAAGCTTGATAACATTCACTTGTAAAGTCAAAGCTCTGGGCTTTTGTTTCTGGGAGCTGCTTATTAGTTTTCATACAAGTGACTGCTTCTGGGCACTTGTGATGTGCTCTGGGAATGTTTTGCTGCCTGGCATTTCCCACTACCAGAGGACAGATCCTCTCTCTTGGATTCCCAGATGCCTCCAACAGGTCTCGCATGGAGCTATTAGTTCTTAGCAGCAACTGTTTACAAATCTATCTCATCCATCAGAAACCTATTCAGGATAGGATAGATGAACAATTGAGCATAGAGAAAAGGGTATATACAGGCGGAGGGGAAATTGATTCCCAGAAGGAGTTTGAGGGATGGAAATGATAGTGAAGTTGAAGGCACTGATCCCAGACAGCTGGGCAGTCTCTTGTCAATGATACCTGTCATCCTTGGTTCTTGGATCCCTCACTTGTCTGAATATTTAGATGCTGCTCCTAACACCACTTTATCTATGCATTTCTTTTGCAGAGATGAGGGAGAAAGATTTGTGAGGTGCAAATCAAGAGGCTGAGGGAGGGGTAGGTGGAAGGCAGGAGCAGGCCAAGGCCACACCAAAGCAAGTTCACACCCAGGACAGCTCTCCCAGTACCACCCCACTATGGTTCCATGCCCACACTGGTGTCTCAGCCCGCCTCCACTCACTCACACAGAAGTCTCATCCTGCCTTCCCCACACCTTCCAACCCGCCTACAGGCAGCAAGATCAAAGTCACCAGGGACGGAACCATTGTTCTATCACTTCTTGGAAAAACAGAGCCCCTAAGTGCAGAAACTGGTGGAACCAGTGAAATGTTGAGGTGGCCCCACGTGGATCCCCTTGGAGCCTGGACTCTGGCTCCAGCCCAGGCTCACCATCCCCGTCATCTGGCCACAGAAAGCACCATATCGGTCTCCCCGTGAGAGCTCTTGCAGGGCCCCTCCATGGTTACTGGGACACATTCTGCCTGGGGCTTCTCAAGTCATGCTCAAGAGAGAGAAGCCAACTCAGGATATTCAGAATCTGTTGAACCAATTTTGTATCAATAACTAGGCAGCCACAGTGCCTGCTTATTCACACAATACATTGGCCACCACTGCTGGGTTAGATTCTGAGGAAAATGACAGTGACAGGAAAGGAAGGGGGTAGACTTCAGCTTACCCTTGGGGAGAGAAATTGAAGTGTGAGTAGGGCTGTTTGTGTCAGGGTGTATGTGGTACAGGTAAGGAATAGGGGCCAAGGATGAGGGAGAAAAACAGGGGCTCAGGTTACTGAGTGGACAGGGCCACACTTGGGTAATAAGGCTAAATGACTTTCTTTTGGGAACAGTTTTCCCAAGTGTGCAATCCAGTAACCAAGCCTTAGCATCTGAGTGGGTCCCCAGGGGCCTTCTCGTCCAGTTGCCCACTGGGCAAGGAGGGGTGACCCCTGTGTAGATAACCCCTGGTCTCTGGAATTAGGATGGATTTGGGTGCTACAGTGTATCCATTGGCACTCTGGAGTGTTTTTTCTCTAGCTGTTTACACAAAACAAGAGTTTTTGGAACACAAGGAGTTTGCAAACAGTAATGAAGAGTGGAGGAGGGAGTTGGAACTTGTGCTAAGTGGAATGTGCTGTCAGTTCCAAGTTTAGGGTCTGGAGGGAAAATCCCAGGCCCAGTGTGATGCTGAGCTTGTGGGTGACGCTCAGTAGTATGCTTCTGCCTGGTTGCCAGAGTGGCTCTTCCCTCTTTTTGCTGTAATCAAACTGTGCAATGCAAGAAGAATGTCTCAATACTGCTTGCTGTTGTGCTCTTTACAATTCTCACATTAATTCCTGGAAAAGTATGGGAGATCCCCCTGGTATTTGGTTTTGTTTGAGGCATGAAAGAACACTGCCAGACTGCCAGCTGTCTCAGGGCAGAAACAGACTGGAAGTACAGGGTTTAGAGCTGAGAATTACGATCATCTAACTGATAACGCTGTAATTTCAACAGCAACTGGTGGCTTCCCTAAACAGCAGAGACAGTCACAAAACAATACACAGCTTCTCTTATTACTTTCCATCAGGAGCGGTCAACACCAGATCATGTTCCAGCACTCAGGACTCTGGCACTGAACCTGAGTGCCACCGTCTAGGAAGTGTTCCTTACCTGCTGCTCAACTGCAATCACTGCTACCATATGAAATGCTAATAACACTTGATATTGATTCACAGCTTTCTCAGTCACATTATATTTGTGTCTTATGGCCATGTTCCTAACGAACCTTTAGGAAGAATGAGCATATATATATAAATACAGATATAACTACTTCCCACTATATGGCTGCTAAAAGCATCAATACTTTGTTCTTTAAGAATATTTATACTGTGTGACTATTTAAGTGTAAGTAGCATTCATATAATTATAACCAAAATAGTAAGACATTTGAATGAATGAATGAAAGTTGTATACATGATTCCATAATTGAGGATCTCTACTCCATTCTTCAGCTTACCTGCTTTCGCAAAAAGGTCTTACTATGGTTAGGAAGTGCTTTTTTGTTTGTTTGCTTTTAAACAGAAATTTGGGTAAGGGGTGCCCAGGTCATATGTGCCAGGAAACTTTTCTCCCTTTGAGATTCCTAAATTATTTCACAAGCCTTCATGCCCAAACTTTTCTCCTCTTTATCACTTCAGAATTGGAAGAGGAAGATTAATGTGGATTTGATTAAAACAGACAACATAAAGATTAGACCCAAGCCAGCTAGGGTGGACATAGCAGTGAACTTAGAGTTCTAGACCTGGCTTCTCCACACTCACTCCAACACTAGAAAACCATCCTGACTGGCCATTGAATCCTTTAGGCTTCCATTCTGTCATCGAGAAAGTGTGGGGAACAGAAAACTCCTTAATGCTGGCTTATATTACTGGATGGGCCTGCGCTTCTTAAAATACAGATTCCTGGGCTTACCTCAGGGATTCTGATTTAGGAGGTCTGGACAAGGACCTGATTCTCTTTTGGAAAGCAGTGAATTAAGGATATCTGAGATTTCCTCCAACTCCACGTAGGGTTCTAACCTCTGTGCCAGGAGCTTCTTACCTGAACCCTGGGATCATCTTGGCGAAGCCAACGACTTTCTGGATGCTGTAACTGACCAGGTCAGCTAGATGGGGCAGCATGGAGAGCTGGGACAGATCCAGAGTCACAGAAGGATCATCTGAGTCTTCTTCGCTCAGATCCAGGTTGGAGAAATTGGTCGGCTCCATCATATCTGGGGAAGTGTGAGGGAAGGAACTATTTAAGGATAAATGAACCATGATCCCTCTCACTTGAGTCTGTGAGGACTCAGCACTCTGGCACAGGATCAGCTGGAATCTCACGTGACTGCTGCTCCCTGAAGATCATTCTTCAATCCAGGCTTCCCTATAAGATTCTCCTTGCTCTTCTTTCATCACAGTGGGGAGTGAAATCAAAGACTGGAGAAACTCCAGGAAATGAGATTTCCTCCAGACCATATACTACTACCCCAGTAATCTCTAAAAAATGAATTTGGAACAAATAAACTTGTAGAAAAAGTGTTCAACCTCACCAATGATCAAAGAACTGCCAAAAGAAGAACATCTACATTTTTTACCTGTAAACTAAAAAAATATATATGTTTAAACAGTGATTCCAGTGTTTCTAAAGAAGTAGGGAATTAGGCAGCCCTTATAGGGTGCTGGGACACTAAAGCTGCTTTACAAGAGGGCCAAAACTCTATGTTATGTACATTCTTTGGGCAGTAACTTCACTCCCATAAATTCATCATAAGGAAAAAATTTGGTACAAGTATAAATATTTAGCCACTAACATACTGTCAAATTTTAATGAAAACTGGGAATCAATCAAGATAGCCAAAGATAAGAGATTTATACATGTTATTGTATTTTAAAACAATGGTCCAGATGCATACTAAATAGTGCAAATATTTACTGTTGCCATGAAAAGAGAAAAGAAAGTTACCTGCTGTGTATCACACAATTCTATTTCTGACTATATGTATGAGTGTGTTTTCAATAAAAAAGATGGGAAAGAGATATATCATGGTGTCAACAGTGATTACTTTTGGGTAATAGGATTATATATATATATATGCATATATATATGATGTATGTAGATATATATATTGTTATATTTTCTAAATGTCTATATTTAGAAAATATATTACTTTTGTATAATTTTTTTTTAAAGATTTATTTATTTGTGCATACAGAACTGGGGTACAGGCCAGAGGCTCAGGGGCGGTGAGAGGCTTCACCAGAGACAGAGTGGGGAACAGAGCAGGCAGATCAACGAAGTACACTGCTGAGGGGAGCAGCGGGTGGGTCAGGGGAGGTCTGCCACGCCATGTGGTCTCCTCTGGGGCAGGTGGGAATCGAACTCATGCGGAAGCGGCTTTAGATTCTCAGTGCTGTGCTTTAACCCACTGCGCCACCAGGGAGGGCCACTTTTGTATAATTTTTAAAAAATTCAGGTGTTAACTAGTTTGAATTAAAAATCTACATATCTATGGTGATGGCACATGGGTGATTTGGTGATGGGAAACCTGGGGATTGCAACTGAGATGGAAAAATGCACAAACATGTAAAAATAAACTATTATAGGGCTATGTAAAAAAAACTATTATAATAGTTTATTATAATAAACTATTATAGGGTGCAGCGGGTTAAAGCACAGCACTAAGAGGCTTAAGGTACTTCCGCATGAGTTCGATCCCTGCCTGCCCCGGAGGAGATCCACATGGCGAGGCAGACCTCTCCTGACCCACCCGCTGCTCCCCTCAGCAGTGTACTTTGTTGATCTGCCTGTTATGCTCCCCATTCTGTCTCTGGTGAATCCTCTCAACCTCCACATCTCTGGCCTGTACCCAGTTCTGTACGACATGGGGTGGGGAGTACCTCAAATCAATTAATCAATGAATTTGATACTTAGGGTATTAAAACTCCTAAGGGTCTCCCTGGTGGCCTATAGATGGAGTGTCAGCGCAATCACTAATATGACCTGAGTTCAACCCCCAGCCAGGATGCTGCCCACAGGGCACAGATCACTCCTCTCTCACCGCTGCTCCCCTCAGCAGTGTATTTCAGTCTGCCTATTCCGTTCCCCACGGTCTCTCTGGTGAATCCTCTCACCCCAAGCACCTCTGGCCTACACCCCAGTTCTTCTATGCAAGTACATAAATACATAAAATAAAGCTTCTCTTCTAAATAAAATAAAACCCTTGAGTCTTATGGAATGACTCTTAAAAGCTGAAGTACAGACCTGTGTTCAACATGCAGACTGAGCCTCATTCATATAAGTGAATATGTCATTAAGTGAGAAGAGCAGGCAGGAGGACAGAGGGCACAAAGACAGGGGAGGAATTCCTGCAAGGCCCAGGGCTCCGAGGGCCAGCTGCTTTGCGAGCAGCCCTCACTTCTTAGCCCCTGACCACTGCTCTCTTGTCCCTCCTGGGTGGGCAGAGTCAATGTCTGACTCCGCTGCATTTCTCTGCAGTTGGCTCCGGGCCCTGCTCACCTGTCTGGATCTGGGCACAGACCTATCAGTGAGCCCGGCAGAAACATATTTGTGAGTTATAGTTCCCCAGAGGGGAGAAGGTTGTCCCATCCCTGTCTTCCTGCTTGTTTCAAGTGGAGGGCAACGGGTCTGGCAAAGCAGTAAAGGGACGAAGGGCCAGGGCAACAGAGGGTGAGGTCAGAAGAGGAAGGCGGGAGAGGGAAAGCAAGGATGTAGTGGAGGTGACAGGCCTTCAGGGCCTTGGTGGCCTCCCAGGGCTTACTAAATTAGGGGAACATGGGACCCCACATCTTCCCTACGCTCCAAAATTTACGTTCAAAAAGCCCTGATGATCATAAAGCATGCTCTTTGTTTATTTGAAATGGCTGAGTGACTAGATTTTACAAGTTCTGTTGCAAAGGAAAAATATAATCTCTCACTGTGTGAGGTGATGGATAGTAACAGAGCTTACTGCCATTTTGCAATATTTAACGGTCACACCTTAAATGATACAGTGCTTTCTGTTAAGTATATCTCAGTAAGACTGGTAAAACACAAATAAAAAATACACAAAGGGTCCTGACTCAAAAGACCATTTAAGGAACACATCACCCCACGGAGGGGCCAGGTCCGGAAGCCTGATTTCTGTGGATGGGAACTCCAGTTTGCCCTGTTTCCTAGGATAGGAAACAGAAGGGTTTCCTTGGGTAGTCACCCTTCTGCTGTCAAGACAAAAAAGGTAAAGGTTGCTTGGGGACGTGAGCTGCGCACAGAACCTAGGTGATACCCTCCTGCCTGCAGCCTAGATGGATGGGGCAGGCTCTTCCTCTTGGGCTGGCGGGGAAGGGCACTCACCTGGAGTCGTGAACTGGTCTGAGCAGGAGGAGGATGAGTCTCCAGAGAAGCTGGGCATGTAACCTAAGCATGGCTTTGAGGGGCTCCCTCCACACTCATCCACGCGCATGGGGGGCTGGAAGGTAAAGGTGGAGAATCAGGAGCGCCAGTTTAGGGCTCCCTCCCTATCTGGGTCCCCATCTGTGACAGGCTTCCCCAGTGCCAGAGGACAGGTCAGCCTCTGTCCCTCCCCAGGTTCCAGGCCAGGATGCCAGTCCCTGCTTCCTTTGCGGGGACTGCACTGGCCTCTGCTCCCCACCGGGCTCACCCTCCCACTTGCAGGTGCACATACGCGGAACTGGCTGAAGTCGGCGTAGGTGGGGTCGTAGGTCTTGTGGTGGGCCTCCAGCAGGATGGCGATGATGCGCTGCTGCTCCTCAGACAGCTTGGGCCGCAGACTGTCCTTCAAGGCCTCCTCCTCCTTCCGCTTCAGTATCATCTCTCTCTTCCGCTGCACCTCCTCATCAGTGAGGATGACTGTGGGGCGAGAGAGTGGGGGCTGGTGTAGGGCTGGGCTGCAGCTCCTGGGAGGCCTCCATCCAGGTGGAGGAACAAGATAGGAACTGGTGTTGCCTCCACTCGGTGCTCACAGCAAGGCAGTTCCTGCCATGGAAGACTCCAAGTGCACTCTGATGGAAAACTGGATTTTCTTTTTTTTAAAAGAATTATTTATTAATACATTCAGAACTGGGGTTAATGCCTGAGGTGCAGGGGGTGAAAGGATTCACCAGAGACAGGGTGAGGAGCAAAACAGACAGATGTATGGAAATACACTGCTGAGGGGAGCAGTGGGTAGGTCAGGAGAGGTCTGGCAAGCCATGTCGAGGATCAAACCTGTGCTAGGGTGGCTGGATAGCCTCATAGTGCTGTGTTTAAACCTGTTGTGCTACCAGGGAGGGCCCGGAAAATTGGATTTTCTTTGTTGAAGAGCATGTGTATGAGCGTGGAGGGAAAAGGACTTGACTGCGGAGTAGCGTGTTGTTAACGAGTCTGGGTTCTCTGGGACAAGCTGTGTGACTCAGGGCAATGTGTTTAAACTCTCTGGGCTTTTGTTCTCTCATTTAAAAAGTGAAAACTTTGGGTCATATAATCTCTTCCTAGGTCTCTTTTTTGTTTCTGCCTCCATAAAGGGGATGTGTGTACATGGCATAAAACAGCCTCCTGAACTGACCAGCTGTCCTGAGCACTGGCGTTGCTAGCACAGAGCAGAGACTCATTACACACAGTTCTGCCCCCTCCCCCGAACATCCTTTGATCCAGAGGGAGATTTTCAGGTGCAGAGAGCGTGAAAGACGTTGTGTGGACAGACAGTGGGAAGCTAGGAGACCCCTACTGCCCATTCCCATGTCCATGTTTTCAGACATGGAATTTGAATGCTCATCCACTCTGATCAATGTGAGGAGATGTTGCCTCTGGAGTGTCCTGCAGGACTGTCCAGGCTTGAAATTTATGACCAAAGACGGTATCATGTCCTCCTGAATCCCGCCCCCACCTGCCCATAATACCTCACTGCTGTTATCTGCAAATTCTTTTTATCTGCCAGTTAGGGTGACTGGTGACAGGGAGCCCCAAGTCCACCTGCAGGCTCATGCAAGGGTTTGAGGTGGGGAGGTGCCCGCCTCACCACTCTGGGGCAGCTGCCCTGGAGGGTGGGGTCAGGAGCAGGGGTGCCTGGCACAGCAGCCAGGGAAATAGACCTCCTGGCTGGGGCTTGCAGAGCGCTGATGGCAGGGCCCACGGCCTGTAGCTACTTGTTGTGTGCCGTGGCATCTGCCCACAGAACTGGGGCATTTCACAAGAGCAGGGGAAGGAACCAGAACCTCAGATTAAGGGGGTTCTGTTCTTGAATGAGACCCAAGTCCTTCAGAGAGGATAGAGAAATGGAAGGGGGAGAGACGGGAGCAGGCCCACAATGTCTTCGGCACAGTAGGAATGGAAAACCTGTGGCAAAAGGTGTGTTTCCTCCACAGCTGAGGTAAGCTGTGAAGAGGAGCCTGGGAGGAGCCCACGCCTAGGGTACTGACTCACCTACCCAGGGAACTGCCAACCTCCTCCCACAGAGGGTGTCTGCTTAGACCCCAGAGGTCAAGTGTGGTGGGAGAAGGAGCAGGGAACATCCCATTCAAGGCAGGGCGCGAAGCTCTTGCCTGGGAAACCTAAGATTAGGTGTCTGGTCTTTCCTGCTCACTGAGGGTCGGGCGGAGGAGGTGATGAGCCTAGCTGGGGGCTGGCTCTGCCGGCCACGCCACGGTGTCCACAGACATGCTCTTCAGCCCAAACATGCTTTGATCATTCTTTGTGATCCTATGGGGTCACTCTCCTGCTCACAGATGTTTTTTGGGTTTTTCTGAGTTACCATGACCAAACAAAATCTTGACAATTCCATGTCAAGATTCTCCATGATTTTGCTTCTTTCTGCTTCTTTGCTTCTTCCCAAGCTCATTTCCCAGTACCCCTGGACATAGAGTATGCCTGACTGATTTTGGGGTTGCTGACTGTGAGTATGACATGCTCATTCTTAGCCACCAGGTTCCCACCTATGCTGATGTCCTCCCAGCTCAGTCTTCTCTCCCCAACAGCCGGCAGATCTCTCTGATCTGAGTGCCAGCTCTCCCTACTGCCCCTCCCTATTGTGCTCTATCTAGTTCCCCTTCACACACTGGCATCCAATTATCTTCCACTCTGTAATCTTTATAGTGACTGTGGTTTCCCATAAATACCTGTACATGGAGACAGTCTAGGAACCCAAGGTCTCTTCCACTGGACTGTGGGCTACTTAAGGGCAAGAGCCACATATTACAATTCCTGTGTATCTCCCAGAAAGGCTGAGTGGGGTGTCTTGGCCATGGTGCTGGCTCAAAAGGCATCAGCCTTTTGGGGGGAAGACACAGGAGTTGTAGTATGTGGCCCTTACCCTTAAGTAGCCTACAGTCCAGTGGAGGTGAGACATTGAGTTCCTGGGCTCTGTCCATGTCCAGGTATTTATGGCACTGGACACCCAACACGATAACACCCCAATGAGGTGCTAGCCAATATCTTGGGCGCAGGAATGGACAGTGAGAAGTCCACCAAGGCTGGTATAATCCAGTGTTGGGACATGCCAGCCCAGGCTGAGCAAGACTTACTTACCTCTTACACCTAAATAATAGTGATTGAGGGCCTCCCTGGTGGTGCAGGGGTTAAGTCTCAGCACCAGCAAGCTATGCCAGCCACTGTGGCATAAGTTCGATCCCTGGCTAGGGAGGTGGCCCACATGGCGCAGCAGACCTCTCCTGCCTCTCCAGCTGCTCCCCTCAGCAGTGGATTTCAGCCAGTCTGCCTGTTCTGCTCCCCACTCTTTCTGGTGAATCCTCTCTGGCCTAGACCCCAGTTCTTGTATGCATAAATAACTAAAATAAATATATTTTTAAAAAATAATAATGATTGAAATATTTTCAGGACAGAATGTCTTGTAATGTAATACTTGTAACAAGTAACCTTTTCTTGATAATTCAGAGGCATCATTATGAACAACTCCTGAACTTTTCAGGAATAGGGCTGTGACCTTGTAGAGAGCTGTTTCCTGTATCTATGACTCAACCTGCTAAGATTTATTGTGCTACTTTTCATAACTCTCAGTCTTCCCTTCTGTTATGCTGTTTGTTCTGATACATGTCTGAGTAAGTCTTCCCCCCACTGAGAGTTACTATTAATCTCTTAGGAACTGGAAAGCCTGATGATCAAGGTTTATGTGATAAAAAGTCATGTTAATAAGGATGGATAACAAACAGAATATTTTATTCACTGTGCACTATTTTAAATGCTTTTGATGTATTGACTCAATTATTTTGTCCTTGTTACAATCCCTGAAGGCAGATGCTATTATCTCCGTTTTGCAGGTGAGGGAGCTGTGGTTTAGAGAGGTTACACAACTTCAACTTGCTCAAAACCACAGAGCCGACATGCGGTGGAGTTGGTATCCAGGCCTCGCAGTGTGGCTCTAGAGTCCAGCCCATCACAACCACCACCCCATCCCGCCTCTGATTCTTCTCAGCTCTGACTTCTCAGTGAGACTCTGGCTCTCAGCCATCTCACCCTGACACTCAGGTGCCTGGTCCCGCTGAAGAGTGTGAAACATGGAAGGACAATTTACAAGTGATTCACTTTAAAAGGACAGAGTTGAGAAGGCTCAAGGTTGATGCTGGGTCACTATCCTTCCTGTCTCAGATAACCACCAGCGTCCCTTGTGCAGATGGAAGAAGGGCTGACAGCTGCTGGCTCCAAAGACCTCTGCGGGCCCTTAAGTCTCTCACATATGCAGATGCAGTTGTGAGTGATAAAATAAATCATCTGCTTAAAGGGGTCATTAAATTCACAGGAGATGTTTTATCATTTCTATCAGTGAATTGCTCTTAAAAACACCATCAATTTCATGTCAGAAGACACTGGTTTTGGAGTCAAAAACTACTGACCTAAAGTAAGAGCAAACAGATTCTGAAAGAATGTATGACATACTCTTAGTGAATAAGGTCGTGACCTCTGCATGTGGACTGTGAAATCCATATGGGCCCACAGTAGCTTTTCAGCCTTCCTTTAAAGTTCTTTGTTCATAAAGGGCTTCAAGCACGTCAGGAAAATTCCTGTGCAAAATGCCCCTCTCCCATGAAGCCAAGATCTAAAGATGCAAATAGCTTAACCACATTTCAAGTTGCCCCTGCTGGCCTAAGCGATCCTGGAAGTGGATATACATTTTTTACAAGTGAATGACACAGACAGATCAGGCTTGGGAGCTCCTCCTGGTCTATAAGCCAGTGGCAGATGTAGCAACAGAAAGAAGCATAATGGGAGCTAATAGCCTGGGTTCTCAGCTCCCATCATAAAAGCCTTGGGGCGCCTTGTGGTTTTACAGATGTTGATGACACTCAATTGTCCCATGGGGACAGCAGCCAGTGCAGGTGAGACCTGAGCAGCTCCCCCATGGTTCTGAGCTGGCAGTCCCAGGCTCAGAACACTGCCAGGCTTCCCAAGCAGGGAACTCCAGTCTTCCTGCAGAAGCTTCCCTTTAGCAGGGAAGTCTGAGTGTGTGGGTCCCCACCCATGTTTCCTACCTTAGCTGGAGCTCTGGGGCTTAGCCCCTGAGAACTCAGCCCCACAGGCCTAGGCCTAACTGTGCAGCTCTAAGAAGAGTGGGCACGGGTTGTCCTGGGCATAGCAGGACAGGAGGGACCAAAGTTGGGGTTGAAGAGGCAAAGCTGATTCGGTGCTGGGGGTGGGCATCCACTTCAGACTATTCCCCCTTACCTCTCCCTCCCCACATCGTGTCCCAGGGCAAGGGTCCCCTGACTCATTCATGGCTTGCTTGTCACCATGGATGCAGTGACCTCTGTGAGGATCTGGAAGGAAGTAGGCAGGGACGGGGAATTGGAATACGACTTGCTTTACGACAGCAGCCCTTCTTTCTGGGTCTCAGATGTTTGCTAAGGGTTCTTCCTTACTCTCAACTGATAAGATATCTCCATCCTACTAAAGCACCAGGATGGGGGGACCCCTCCAGGGCATTAGCAGAGCTGACCCTTCCCAGGGTGCCTGTGGCAGAGCCCTGCTGAAGCCCAGTGGTGTCACGCTGAGCCAGGCTCCGTGGGACTGCTTCTCTGAGGGAGGAGGGACAGGAGCTGTGTGAGCTACCTTTTGTTTATGTCCACCCTGGTGCTTCGCACAGTGCAAGTCCCAGCGTGCAGGAAGCCAACATGTGAGCAGCCCCATGAGGCACCCGGGCCTTCACTTCTCCAGGATAAACACAGAAGGCAGGGCGGGGCAGGGGACTGGGCATGGAGCCGCTGGCGTGCCGGGGCCTGCACGCCCCCGTGGGGGCGAGGAGGAACTACAGCCTGGAAACTTCTTCCAGGACTGCCAATGTTGGCTGGGGAGCTGGAATCAGGAGTGGGGGGCTACAACCCATGAAAGGGGAGGCTGTGCAGACCCAAGGAGGAGGTCCAGGTGAGAGCCTGTGCTGTGCTTCTGCTTCCCCACGTGGAATTTTTTCCCCTCCTAAAGAAGAGCCTTCTCCTCCCCTAAACCTTGTCCTGTGACTTTCCCCTTTTCCTGGATACGTCATCCTTTCTTCCCGCCTTCTGCCTCCCTCCAAAATGGCCCTGCATTTGCACACCCCTCTTCCGCTCCAGCCAGAGTCGGAGGGGGGTCAGGGTACAGACTGCAGTGAGCTGATGTGTAAGGGCACCCAAGCCCAGGCTGGCCCAGGACCCTCGCTTCCACCCAGGGAGGGCCCAGCCAGCCCCTCTCAGGGCCTTCTGAATTCAGTGGCTACTCTAGTTACCAAATAACTGGTATTAGAATTCAAATGCAAAATCCAGGGGTTGTTCTTAATGGTGAGTCAGAAAATATGTCTGCCCGCTCCCCCCACGTCTCCTGCCATCTCAGCACTGGACAGGACGTCTCACAGCATCACTGCCCTTTCTCCACTGGTTCGAGAGGGCCATCTGGAGTCCCTTCCCTTCACAGACACTTCCTACCTAGTCTCCCCTGGGCACCAGTCCTCAGATCTATCTTGGGCTGGAGGACTGGAAGGCTGGGGTGGCACAGGACAGGATGCTAGCCAGGCTCTGAATATTTGTTCTCCAGTCCCTCCTGTGATCCCTCCTAGCAGCTCTCGGTTCCAGTCCTGAGCCTCATCCTTTCCTCCACAGGCCCAGGGAAGGCATGATGACATCTTGGAAGACTGCCCTGGGGGGGCTCATGAGGCCGCACCCTGTCTCTCCCTCCTCAAAGGCCTCCAATATACATACAGATCCCAGAGGGATCTTATGGGACTCACTGGTGCTTTTGACCCCTGAAGCCCAGCAGCCCTGGCCCAGGCCTCGGTCCCACTCAGGCCCTCGGTCCTGGCCCCTGACACCAGCCACTACGGAGGAAGGGCCGCAGGCATCGCTGGCCAAGCCTGCACAGCAGCACCGAGCCCTGGGCCCAGCACTCACACTCCTTCATCATGCCGATGTCCACGCAGCGCTTGAGCCGGCAGGCCTGGCAGTGGCGCCGATTGTCCTTGGTGATGCGGCAGTCTCCGTTGAAGGGACAGGTGAACAGCGCCTTCCGCTTCATGCTCCTCCTGCCAAAAGAGCGCAGGCCCTGCACTGAGTTGCCAGTCTACCAGCTTCTCAGCCCAGGCTTCAGGAGAGCGGCCTGCAGGGACTGTGCCAGGGGACTGCTCACCAGGCCCCCAGACTTCCACTTCTTCCCCAGAGGGCTGGGGACCATCCAGCCCCTGGGCCACTCTCAGTACCCCTCAGCCCCATCCCAGGTGTGAGTGCACCAACCGTGGCCCCCTTTCTTTGCCTATTCTGCCTCCCCATAGCTCTCTTGTACTTTCACAGTACTCTACTCCTTCCCCCTCTTTTTTTTTTTTTTTTAAGATTTTATTTTATTTATTTGTGCATACAGAACTGAGGTACAGGCCAGAAAAGCAGGGGTGATGAGAGTATTTACCAGAGACAGAGTGGGGAGCAGAACAGGCAGATCGACCAAGTACATGCTGAGGGGAGCAGCGGGCGGGTCAGGAGAGGTCTGCCGCGCCATGTGGTCACCTCTGGGGCAGGCGGGAATCGAACTCATGCGGAAGTGGCTTTAGCTTCTTAGTGCTGTGCTTTAACCCGCTGCGCCACCAGGGAGGGCCTTCCCCCTCTTTTTAATATTAGGGAATATATAAATGAATTTTTGTGGCTTTTAAAAAAATGCTGAAATCTGGCCCTCCCCCTCTCTTTTTAATATTAGGGAATATATAAATGAATTTTTGTGGCTTTTAAAAAAATGCTGAAATCTGGCCCTCCCCCTCTTTTTAATATTAGGGAATATATAAATGAATTTTTGTGGCTTTTAAAAAAAATGCTGAAATCTGGCCCTCCCTGGTGGCGCAGTGGGTTAAAGCACAGCACTAAGAAGCTAAAGCCACTTCCGCATGAGTTCGATTCCCGCCTGCCCCGGAGGTGACCACATGGCATGGCAGACCTCTCCTGACCCGCCCGCTGCTCCCCTCAGCATGTACTTGGTCGATCTGCCTGTTCTGCTCCCCACTCTGTCTGTCTCTGGTAAATACTCTCGTCATCCCTGCTTTTCTGGCCTGTACCCAGTTCTGTATGCACAAATAAATAAATCTTTAAAAAAAATGCTGAAATCTGCAGTTGTCCTCACAGTTTTGAGGGGGCACTAAAAGAGGAGGGGGCACCATGAGAGGAGAGGATGTCAGTCTCAGCTAGTCCGGAGATGTGTGACTAGAGCCTTCTGATCCAGGGAGAGTCTAGTGCACAGGGGCTGGAAGAGGGGAAGGGTGCTTGCCGAGCAGTACAGATCCAATAGGACTTTCCTCCCAGCAGCTCTCTCTCCAAAGAGACTGTCCAGAAGAGAAGAGGCCAGGTGAGCAGGGGGAAACCCAGAGGTCCAGCCTTGACTTTCCAAAAAGCAGAGGAAGAAAGGGTTCTTTCTATAAGAATAGAGAATTGTCACGGGGTTGTTTGTTTGCTAGCAAACCGGCAGCCCCCGCATCCTGCACACATGTGTATGTATGTACATGTGTGCAAGTGTAAGCATAGACTCATTTTCCTAATTCTAGTTCCTTCTCCAGGTGCCAGCCACACCACATGGGGATTGGGGAGGCTGCTGAAAAGACAGTTCCCTGGGGCTTCTCATCAACTGTGTCCTAGAGGTTCCCTAACTCTTCCCTGCCCAGCAGGGTGTGCCCACATTTTTGCCCCAGAACAGGTGAGAGGACTTCATTGGGGAAAGATGGTGGCAGAATCACTGTGCATAGCAGAGGCTTCCAAAGAGATCTGGAGATGCCCAAGCCTTCAACACAAAAACCAGACTCGACCATTTCTCTGTCCAGGAGATGAGCTGGTGAGAGTATCTTCCCCAGATGCCACGCTGTGACTCACCGCTCACCTTCTCCAGAAGGGCAGGACACTCAGCCAGTGACAAATGGGACCACACCAACTTGAACTTGGGATGGGGGGAAAGCCCAGAACAGCTCTGTGGGTGATCACCATCAGTGAGACACCCAGGTCACTAGGAAACTGAGACACAGTGGAGCCCCCGTTTTACAGATGGACCCCTGAGGTAAGGACACTTGTCAGTGAGGCAATTCTACAAGACGTGAAGACTCCTAAGTAGGAAATCTTAGGGATGAGAAGCTCAGCTCTTAGCTTTCTGTGTTGAAAATATTGTTTTCACCCCTGATACTCAAGGTGCCAAAGCCACAAGCCCCAGGCAAGGAGCTGCAGGCGGCTGACACAGTGCTAGACACACAGCGCTCCAGGGCCTCCACCACCCCTGCTTACCCAGGGGGCCCACCAGTGGACAGGGCTTTGCAGGGGGTGGCGTAGTGCCAGGCTGTGGGGGCAGCCCAGCGAAGACTGCCTCCTGCCCCTATGGGGTCTCCACGGGGAGAGACTGTCAGTCAGGCTGCTGCCTCACCTTTATGGAATAGGCCTCTGAGCTTCTGCTTTGCTTGCTGGAGGGACAAGGGAATGTGGAAATATTTGATTACAGTTAGGGCGACCTGAAATGGGATTCTATCATCACAGGGAATAGCAGTGTGTTCCGGGATATGGGATTGTTCCCTACTTTTACTTCTTTCCCTTATTCCCAGCTTGTGGTCAAACACCAGAATGTCCATAATTCAGGAAGGAAGGAAGGGAGGGAGGGTGGGAGGGAGGAAAAAAACGAGAGAGAGAGAGAGAGAGAGAGAGAGAGAGAGAGAGGAAGTAAGGGGAAGGGAGGGAGGGAGGGAGGGAGGAAAGAAGAGAAGGAAGGAGTTACAAGCCCTGTGCTTTTTACTCTAGGCCACACCTTGTCCCAAAGCGCAACCTTGTAGTATGTCTCCACAGTGTTTGAGTAATGCAGGAAGCAGCCTATTAACATGATACTCTAAAATTATTATTATTTAAAAATATAGTAGCCAACTCTTCCCTATATTTAAGTGTAGAATCAGGAGAAAGACTCTGGAATTGGATGTACTGGGAAGATGGGGGGTCACACATTACCAAGAGCACCGTCACATTCTGGGGTGTGGGTCGGTGCCCAGGGGGTGGGCGCCCCCTTGCCAACTCCAGCAGGCCACCGCAGGTCCTTCCTGGAGCCCATATCCAGAAGCTGGTTTTCAAGTGTGTGTGGTCTAGCGCAGGTATCTGCCGGCCACAGGGCCTGTGGACTCTGGGGCCCAGGTCTCCCCCTCCTCCTTCCACACACGTGGCTGTCATTTAGCCTCTGCCCACAAGGAGTCAGGGTGGCCAGACTGGCCCCAGCACTGTACTTTGTCCTGGGGAGCCACTCCCTGCCCTGCCTTTCTGCCCGCACTAATTGCCTGTGAGCTGGTTTGGTTTGAGAAACAAGCACCTCTAGTTTCCATGGGAGCCTGTTACCACAGCTACTCGCCAAGCCTGGACCCTGTCATCCTCTAGATGGTTGGCAATTATACCCCAGCTCAGGAAGGGGGTAGGAGTGGTGTAACTACACTAAATATAGATGCAGTTTCTAGAAAGCCAGGGTGAGAGAGGACATTGACCGATTCTTGTGCCAGAGACCAATTCATCAAAACAAGCGAGACAGCAGCTCACAATAGCACCCAGTGCCTCGGGAAAGAGGCCCAGGCCTGGGGCAGCAGGGTCCCTCTGAGCAGGTAGCCCCTGCCAGCAGAGACACACCTTGTATGACCCAAGCCAGGGCCAAGTGCCAGCTCTGGACTTTGCCTCCACTGAGTTCTGACTCTACAGCTTCCAGAACCTGCTGAGGGGCCTGGAGGTGCTCCCGACACAAAAAACCTCTGTGAAGGGGGACCCACATGACATATCTGTATGTGAAACAAGGGGTCTCAGCAGGAGAGTTTAACACCTTTAAAGGAAAACAGATAAATACTGTAAGCAAGGAACATGGGCTTCTTTTCCTGAAGGTGCCTTGGCAATACCTACCAATATGTAAAATCTAGAGTCTTAGTGAATTTACTTCCAGAAACCCACCCTGAGTGGCTCCAGCAGGGACCCAGGGACACACACTACTGCAGGGCAGTTACTGCACCCCTATTTGGGGGAGCTTGTATTGCCCCTCAACTGAGAGTGGGTTCACCCGAGTATTGTATAAAACAAGCTGGTCATGGAAACGACAGAGGAGGAATGTGGAAACGCAGCATGCTTGCAGAAATGCTCCTTGGCCGATAGAGCCGAAGGCAGAGGTGAGTGTACAGACACACAAACATGTGGCCACACCTTTATATAAAGGACCTGGAAGCAGACGCCGCCGTGCGCTGGTAACAGCCACAACTTCGGGGAGGAAGCAGGAGCCTGAGAACGGTCTGGACCTTTCCCTCACATGCGCTACTTTGTCTTCACTTAAAGCATACACTTGCATTTCTCAAAAGAGCAAGCCACCACTCACTTTATTTAAAATTTTAAAATGAAATCCAGGATTGGATTAGAATGGTCTGCATGGCGCTTAAATCCTAGTGCACAGCTTGGGGAAGTCACTCCACCTCCCCATGCGGCCACAGTTCCCACGTCTGTAATAGGCAACAGCCCTACCAGGGGCTGTGGGTAGCATTAAATAAAGGAAGCAGGACCTGGCACAAAGTAAACACTAGAACCAGGAAGGAGAGAAGCCAGCAGGGCGGCAGGGAGAGTGCTGAAGGGTGGCTGAAGAAGGCGCTCTTTAACCTTCCCGGGAGGGAGGGCCGGAGACCTGGAAGCAGGCCCATGTCTACGGTTCAGACCTCCCTGAGCGCCCAGGGCAGGCCCTGCAGGCACAGTTCTAAACACATTGTACTTTATGTGCTGCTGGTCGTTGGGCAAGTCACAGCAGCCATCCAAACCGCCCAGGTGCTCTGAGCCCCAGCCAGTGACCAGGGAACTCTGAGGAATGGGAGGGTCTCTCAGAGCCCCTGGTCCAGCCCTGCCTTCTCATACCTGACATTTAACACCTTCTGCTCAGCCACATTTTCTCGGAGACCCCTGCCATGGTGAGGATGGCCAGGGGCCATGGTTACACCCATTGCTGGCTCCATGTTCGAGGAGAGGGAAGGCTTGATTGTGTGTTCCCAAAAATAAGACATGACAAAGGAAAGGCAGCAACAGCTAGGGATTAGAGGGAGCCTCCATACCTGTCCCTCCCGTGTCCTCTCTAGGTTCACAAGAGCCTTTCGGGAAGGGAATTACCCTTATTTCATAAGTGATATGAAAAGGCCCTGGGGAGTTATATAACTTGTTTAATGTCAAAATGGCTGATATGCATGAAAGCTGAGATTAGAGCTGAGATCTGCTTGGCACTACATGTTCTGCTATTCTTATAAAACCTGGTCCTCTTCTTGAATCTACCGCGTGTAATCGACCGCAGAGCAGCAGTCTAAACTGTGGCCCCAACCCGAGGGTGTAAAGCAGAGGCTGCTGTAAGGGCTCCTCTGAGACCAGTCACTGGGGTAGAACTGGGGGTTTTGAAAGTGAGGGTAGCCCCTGGCCATCCTCACCATGGACCCTGCTCTGCCGTAGCACAGAGGGTCCCTGGGGGTTGCTGAGAGAGGATTTATGCAAATGAGCCCTGATCAGGTAGTCAGATTCCAAAAGAACTAAAATATTGACTACAAATAAGTCTTCAGCATAACTTGTAGCTTTCCTGACCACTCCAGTGACCTTCCCTCTCCAAACATTCTGACCTCTCACCAAGCTTCTGTACACTAGTCTTCGCCCCTCCCTTACCCTACCCGCCCTTCCATTCACACCCCTGAGCAGCTGTGGGGAGAGGTCAGTTGTCAAGCTGCCCTGGACAAAGTTCTCTTCTGAACACTGACTTCTTAGTAATCATTCACTGGTGCCCAGAGGATGCCCCATCAGCCCTGTCCTCTCTTCATTTACTCTACTGCCTTTATGCACGTTAAGTTTTAAGTCACTGGACATCTGCCTCATTTCATATGTCCCTCACAGAGCAGTTCCTTCTGCAGACGTCAGCTGGGGAAACTCACGGAAAGCCAAAACACGCCTCATGTTCTTGGGTCCTCACCAACCTTCATTTTTCTCTGTATTCCATAAGACTCTAAATTCACAAAACCCCAAGAACCTTGGGGCTAGCAAACAAGAGGGCATTTCTCATCCATCTCTGTTAGCTTGGGGCTCAGACAGCTTCAATGTGTCCTCACTAAAGAGGCAGAGGGAGGAAGAAGCCAAGGTAGAGAAGCCAAGCATGAACTCCTTCTGCACAGTGCCTTCCAGGCCACCAGGACCACCAGGGACTGGTGCCCAGGGCTTGGGAAAATGCAAGTGTCCTGACACTCACATGATGCTCTTCCCTTCTGGGCTGCCACGAGGAGTTGAGTAAGTTTGTTGAAAGCAAGGATTTTATAGCTCTTATCACAAGGATGAGGCACTTGCCACAGAGAAGGCAACTGACACAGCTTTCCTTTCTGGATCAGGATTTCACAAAGAGATAAAAGTGACAACAGGAGTCTAGAACAACTATTTGAACTAGACTAAAATGAGAAAATGCCAAATAAAATTTGGATGATGCAAAGGAGGAGAAATTGGGAGTGGATGTTACATATACTCAGTCCATTCTGGCAATTCACAGAATTTATTGAATTGCCAGAATACTGAAGCATGGTTCCTCGGGAAACACAGGGAAAGTTTTGCAAGAGATGCCAGTGTTTGCAAGATGATACACCATATTCTATGCAACCCACCTTATTTGATATATGCTGTCCCTTCAGCAACACAAGCTCACGCCTGCTGCAGATCCGAACGCCTAGACTTCCCTGCATGGCACACCACACACTCTCTTTCCTCAAGAACACCTGACAGCACTTCCTCACTATGCTTGAGGAGCAGCCTACATCATAAAATCATCATTTAAAACCACAGAGATGCAAACAAACAAACAAACAAAACAACCCTGATACTAATAGGCCACAAGCATACTTGTTCACAGCACAAGAACTGGGACTAAGGTCAAGGCACCTTGCTTGGCCCCTGCAGAACTGTGTGCCTGAGAGACTCAGCTCTCTACCAGCACATGCCCACCAATGACCACAAAACCACTTGGGTATTAATTTGGCAATAAGTAAATTTTAGTAGCTAAGCCAATGTGCAAACACAGAATCTACAAAAAATAACAACTCTGTGTGTGTGTGTGTGTGTGTGTGTGTGTGAGAGAGAGAGAGAGAGAGAGAGAGAGAGAAACAATTCAAGCCAAACTAGAGAGGTTGGCTCTCCAGAAGGTGCAGCCTGACTCAGTCATCAGGCAGACAGTAAAGCCGAAGGCACACTGAGGACAGGTGACAGGCAGAAGCAGTCTCTGCCGTAATCCTGGCTTCGAGGCAGGGCTGCAGCCTCCACCAGCAACATCTTTGTGGGGTCCTGGGAAGAGGAGGGAGGAGCGGCCCATGCAGCACAGAGGGGACGCAGCGTGCATGCGTGCGTGCGGATATGGAGGCGCGAGCGAGGACCTCTGGGGAGGTCCCTACATTGCTAGCCCCTCTCCCAATGCCTGGGTCATAGATGCTCATTAAAATCTGCTGAGGGAGTATGCAATAGAAAAAACAAAAGGAGGGTGGATGGTGAGAAAGACTTCAGTTTGTTTATTAAGGCAGAGTTCCACTGAGGACATCAGTATCGATACCTCAGGTTCTAAAACAAGACACTTATATTGTACTAGATGCTTGCTTGAAAGCACTTTAACATGTCATCTCATTGACCCTCAGATTCCCTCTGCATAGGAGAAGGTCTGCCTTTCACATGCCCATGTGCTTAGTTTGAGAAACCAAAACAGAGAAGCTAAGAATTTGAGCAAGGACATGCAGTTGGTTAATGGGACGGTCGGCATTACTGCCCACACATTTCTGACTGGTTTTATGATAGGAAGTAGGCCCTGTTATGGGCACCCAGACCCCTTCTCTGTTATTACTCAGAAACCAGCTCCCCCATCCCAGGTCCTGCCAGGAAAGGTCCAAGTGGCCCCTGGGACGCATGGCCTGGCTCTGGAAGGCCCACCCTGCAGGAAGTGCAGGCTTTGGGCCAGAGAGACGTGGCAACAGGTCCGGGAGCCAGCGATGCAGCTGGTCTGGTTCCCCAAGATGGGGAGCATCCTGCCAGGAAGTCAAGCAGCCACCGAGCCAGGCCAAACAGGCAATTAGCACCCACAGAAACCCCAAGACTCAGTGACTGCTCAGGGCAATGAAACTCAGGGCCTGCTAGTTCCAGGGACAGAGAACAGGTGAGTCAGGAGCCACATTGTGAGGAGCCAGGAGGCCCTGAACTGGAGGAGAGGGCCACTCAGGTCTCCACTCCAATGCCCTCTGCCTAAGCCCTTGGCCCCCGGCGTCAAGGCCGACTTGGCTCTGGACTCCTTCTTCTCTCTCTTAATGGCTGAAGCCGGGGCCTTTATTTGCCACCATATGGACATAAGAAGCTTTGGTGTCTTCCTTCTTCCAGACTTTTCTCTTTCTTTTTCCCAATCTTGTGTGTCAAATGCTAATTCCTCATGGTTCCCTGTCCCATCCTGCAATTTATCATTTTCCCTTTCCTATCCTTCACAATGTTGGATGGGGACATCTTTCTTTTGGCCTTTCCAGTACTTTCTGCACTTGTGATGCTAGACTCACATAAAAGGAGAAAAGATTGCCGCAGAGAAAATGAACCAGCTGAACAGGAATGTTGTTGTAGACTGGCATAGTTTGGGCACTCCAAGTTTGGCTTTCCGAACTGGGGCAAGCAAGCCACAAGTGAAGATATAGGCACAGATTAAGTAGAGAGCCAAACATAGGGCATGGCTTCCTTGGATATGAGGAACAGTCTGATTTGGAGGGGGGAAGTTTGGAGAGGGGAATGTGTGGAGAGCAAGCTTGGGGCCAAGTTCTCAGGCTTCCCTAGCACATGTCTATTTATTAGATTAGAAAACTGATTATCGGCCAGATAGGAGGCAGACACAGGGGTTAGTGCAGGAGGCTATGGGCCTAAGGAGTAATGGACAGATGGGGATCACAAAGCAACATAGAAAAGAAATTTCTGGGGGGCTCAGAGGAGACATAGCTGGAGCTAAGGGGAGGGGAGAAAGAAGATCCCCCTCAGAGGACACCCCTGCCCCCGATCTGTGAGAGCTGGCATGTTTCAAGGGTATGATAAGGAAAGAGGCTTGGGAAATGCAAGGGTCCTGTGGGGGGGGGGGGGGGGGGCGGGGTGGAACCTGCCTCCTTCCCCCACCCACTTGCCCTCAGGAAGAACTCACCTGAAGAAGCCTTTGCAGCCTTCGCAGGTCATTGCATTGAAGTGAAAGCCTGTGGCTCGGTCTCCGCACACCCCACAGATCCGGGGCACGTTCCGGTCAAAGTCACCAGGATCAGGCAGGGAAGTGCTGGCCGCCATGGCCTCCATGCCTGAAAAATGGCAGGCGCCCAGTGAGTGTGGCCAAGGCATCCGTTGCTACTGCCCATCTACCGGGAACCTGGTGAAGCTGGGCTGTGCACCCAGGACCCGGCCTGAGCAGGATTCCTTGGTGTCCTCTTTCTGGGGCGTTCCCACACCCCAACAGACCCTCCCAACACTGACACCTATAGAAGCAGGGCTCTCTGACCCAAGATGGTGGAGAAGTCGCTCCTCGCATGTCTAGGAGCGAATCTGCCTGTGCCCTGCACCTGCTGCTTGGGGTGGCATTAGCCGCTCTGTGACTCACTGGCCTCCCCTGGCATTTCACTAAGCAGGGTGTGAGAAGGGCTATGGGGTGCAGAAATGCCAGCACTGCTTCTGGCATCTCCTCAGTAGCAGGGCTACAGCAGGTCAGATCCTCTATCCTGCCTAATGCCCCCTTCAGGGGAACTCACATACAGAGAGAACTCCTCAGTCCCTGCATCCTTCAGGATGAGGGGATAGAATAAACTAGTGCCCGAATCACAGCCTTGACATTCTAGACCCTGCTCCTCTGCGCTGACAGGCCTTGTCCCGGCTGCCCTTTGTGTCTGTCTATCGGTCCATCTGTCACTCTGCCTGTCAGGCATTATCATCTGAACATTTTACACTTGACCAAAGGAGAAAAAGAGGTAGAGGGAACAAAATCTGATCATTTTGGGGAAAAGCAGCTAACTTACACACTCCCACTAAGTAAGGGCTTGCTCTGCCTAGAGCTGTGACGCTGACTGTCACCAGCAAGGAGTTGCATCTGGGGGCACCTGTCTCCCTAAAATGCTTTCAAACCCTGCTGCCTCCTTGTTATATCTGAATCCCTACAGAGATTTTCCCCTTCACAGTGGTCCTTTTGCTCAAAGACAGCAGGGGCCCTCAGGCCAGATGAAAAAGGAGTGAAAACCAATTAGGAGGGATCAAATGCCCTCCCACCCTGTCCAGCCCAGACACCGTGGGCTCCCTACTGCAGCCAGGTGGGGGGGCTTGGGAGATCCTTGGGGGACTCCAGCTTTCTTTTTAACAACTAGGTCTGCGATCCCTGAGCTGGGGGTTGGCTTATCAAAGCCATTAGAGTCTTACTTCACTTTATCTTCATATCACCCCCAATGAGGTAAGTACCATTATTATCACTCTCTTTACAAATGAGGCGCAGCAAAGCGTGGACCTCGAGGGCGTCGCTAGCAACTGTGCTCACAAAATGCACAGAATACTTAATTAGAAAAAAATTCCACAGAGATCTTCAATTCAAGAAAAAGAAATGGGACAGCTAGGGAGAGTAGGACACTGTCAGTCCCAGAGGGTGGAGACCCTCGTCACAGAGAGCAGATCCTCTGATTTCATCAGCTGTTCTGCTGTTGGGACTTTTCATGTTGTAGCGACACCGTGTGCCTGCCACAGACTGACACTTGTGAAGCTATGTTAGAGGGAGGGACGAGAGAGAGACGTTAAAAAAAATAACAATGACCTTTGTGAGGATGAAACTGGGGAGAGGCTTGTATGTTGTAGAGGTTGTGTGTAGTCCCGTGTTCTGTTTCTTTGAGTGGTAACTCCTTCTTGAAACACTATATATGTATAATATATGTATATAATATTTATATGTATAGTAAATGTTTTATATCTGTAACTTTTCATATATATATATATATCTCGAAGAAAAATCACTTGTGATCTGTCAACATTGTCCCAATAACACAGCCAAAGTCAGGCTGATCCTCCAAGCTTCTAGAAAGCCACATGTCTGAGAGGTGGGTAGGGGTCCCAGAGGCCCAAGGCCATAGGGGGGCAACAGGAGCAATAGTCCAGGATGCTGTGGCTTCACCTCAGGTCACCGAGATGCCGCGGCTCTCTGACGTCGTGATGTTGCTATAGAATCTGTGGTTTGGGAGACCCAGCATGCTGTAGGTTAGGTGGGGAAAGGAAATAAAGAGGCTGGAACATGTGTGTGGGGGAGTTGAGGGCTTAGGGGAATATTAGTCAATTCAGTCCCACAAGTGTTTCCATAACTTGACGTCATGCCATGGGCACAGTGAGTACCATAGCCAGGCATTGTAGTATTGGGCACTGGGTGAGGTGAAGGTGCCAGGGGCTGGGGTAGGCCCGACAAGAAGACTAGACAGGGCAGCCAATTCCACAGTGAGCAGGGTTATCTCAGCTGTGTGGACAGAAAATTCAGCCCTGCTGAGGGTCATTTCCTGCTACCCTGACACCAGGACAGGGACCAGCCTTCAGAAGTGGAGGAATGGCTGGAATCTGTGACCTGAGGGCCATCAACCCAGGAATGACAGGCAGAACTGTGGAGGGCAGGAGAGAGAAGGGAGAGGCAGTGAGATAGGAAAAGTCTGGCTCACTAGAGGCCGGGCTACGGGGTCAGCCTGGGGACATCAAGACCTCTCTACTGAGCACCTCTCCGAGCCCCTCCACTGCCAGCATGATGCAGTTCTCAGCTGCAGGCTGCTATGGCTTCTGCTGACACAGACCCACATTTTCGGAGTAGTAATAGTCTCTTCCTATGGATCTACCCTGTTCCTCAAAGCCAGAAAGTTAGAAATGTTGTGGTTGATGAGGAGACACCCACCTGAGGAAGCAGGGGCACAGGTGAGTCGAAGCTGGGGTGCCCTTCTGTGAAGTCTCACAGACACTTCAGACCAAGAGGACTCTGAAATGGAGAAGGGGAGATGTTACTGCTTCAGCTCAACACTGGCTTCGGGCAGTCTGAGACTTTTAGCAGTCTGAGGAGTGGATCTGAGCAGCTCTTCCCAGGGTCCTCAGTCGCGGCTCAGGGACTGAAGCTTGACAGAGTGACTTGTTGGAGGCAGGTGTGCCGTGTCATCCCTGGCAGAGGTGAGGAGGCGGGAGCCAGGACCCAGCCCTCCTTTGAGGCCGGGCGTTGCCAGATGCACGGGAAGGGATAAGGGGCAGACACCAACCTGTGTGCAGTGGAGCAGCCTCCCTGCTGTAGGCCCTCCACCTTCCAAGCAAAGGGGGTCTTTCTAGTGCCCCACTGTCCTCCACCCCAGATTTGAGGGGTGCTGAGAAAGCAGGGCCAGAGGGTGGCCTGGCATGCTGCTGAGGGTGGGAGGGAGACCACTGCCCCAAGTAAGATCACAGAAGAGCCTTGGGGAGCTGGCAATGTGCAGCCTGGGATGGCAGCCTGGGGCCCTGGCATCTTGGGACAGCTTCAAAGACAGGTGTCTGGGAGCTGTCTGTGGAGACAGGGTGTAGGCGGAGCAGGTGCTGCAGGGGTTAAATACAGCAACATGCTGCCATCAAACAGGATGTTTTCTGCCATTTTTAGCTCTGCTCCAGACAGACTCAACACCCCCGGCCCCAGTGAAGGCTGAAGGGACCGACTCTGGTGCCCAGACTCTGAGTCTCGGTGGCACAACAGGTCACCAAGGTGGGGCTGGCAGAACTTCACCCTCCTGACTTCAGTCCACACCCACACTTAGACACACATATGGCACACAGCGCCTACCTTCACCCTTCACTGACACCAACAGGAGGTGGCTGAAGAGGCAATAGGTATGAAGTGCCTGTCTCTGAACCCTGGCAAAGACCCTGAAGCCAAAGCCTAGTGGAAAACATCCAGACCTCCACCTTTGGTTTCTTGGTCTCCCAGTAGCCTGGCTAGGCAGGGAAGGAAGCACCAAGGCCTCAAGAGGGCTCCAAGGCCTGCAGCCCTGCTCAGACCACGCGCCTCCCGCTGGGATACTGCCAGCCCCTAGGGAATGTCCCAGGAGCATAGTGTATCTGAGCTAGGCTGGCCTACGCCAAGGCTATCGGTGGAGCACACCTGAAAGGATAGATGTTACTATTTCCCTCTACTTGTACTACCAAGACCCCCTAAACCAACTACATCCTTCTGTATTCTACCTTTATCTATCTCCTAACCCCCCTGCTGTTTCCCCAAGAAAGCTGAGGTAAGAGAGCCAAGTGGTGACAGCAAGGGCCATCACATTCATGTCCTCCACTCCTAAGGCTTTCAGAAGTCAGCCATGGAATCCGGGTAGACTACCACCTTGGAGCTTATAAGAGTGTGCGTGTGCCAGGCTGCCAAGCTCTGCACACTTAAGCCTCCTAACCCTATGAGGAGGGAGTATCCCATTTCACAGAGGGCACAACCAAAGTCCAGAACACTTCCAGTGACTTGTGGGAGTCCGAGCAAGTGGCGGCACAAGGGCTAAATTAGGGCAGGCTGACCGCAGCGCCCAAGTGTTGCCCTCGCCGCCGCCAACGCCTCCCTCCCAGTGATAACCATCAGCGCAGACACTCTTACTTCGTGCTGGGCCCTGCTCCAAATTCTTCACATCAGCTCACTCACTTAATCCTTACAACAACCTTGTCAGGCGGGTACTGTTATCACCCCTATTTTAGGCGTGGGAAAACTAAGGCACAGAAACGATGACTGTCTTGGGGCCTGCGTGTGAACCACGGTGGTGTAGAGTCCACTCTACTGCCTTCCTAAGCCCAGTCATCTCCTGCATCCTAAACCTTGACATGCCCACTCCACTGAGTCAGGGAGGATGGAGAGAGCAGTCCCAGGTCCTGAGGAAGGAGCCCCTAAGATTGGGGGTGACAGGACTCAGCCAGCACTCCTTATCAGCATCTCTTATCGGGGGAAACCCCACCCCACAGACAGGACTCTCCTCCCCATGCAAATGGGCTCTGTTGGATGGTCCCTTTAGGAGAGGTGATCTTCCGTTAAGTATGTAGGTGCAAGTGCATGGAAAGTGAGGCAGACTATAGAAAAAAGAAAAAGGATCAGTGGGAAAATGCTTAATCCTACCCCCTTTGCAACACTCTACCCCACCCCGATTCATGTTTTGAGTACACACAACACCCCACTGCTTTTGCTGGGGCTTCCCCAAGTAGCCCCCTCCTGGGCCTGCCTGAAGAGCTACCCGGCCCCCAGCACTGCACCTGAGGAGAGCAGAGGGGAGGAACTGAATTCTGCAGAAAGTCCCTGGCTTCCAGTC